CCAGTGCCACGTCCTTTGTCCCCAGTCCTGCCAACCACTAACCCTTCCCAGCTGGTCCCTCCTTCCCACCACCACCCTGTCCCCATCCCACCACCACCATGGCCCTCCCAGCCCCACTGCCCTCCCACCCCTGTCCCTCTCCAAAAGCCAACGCTGCTATGATGCTCCTTATCACCCCTTCAGCCAGGGACGAGGACAGCAGCGAGAGGTGACAGGAGGAGCTGGCAGCTCCCTGGTGCCTCTCTCCACAGCTGACAGCCACCTTCAATATTTAAAGGCTTTGCCCATGAGGAAGGGTTCAGCTCTGCAACCCCCATGTTGGGATTTTGCAAATCGCACAGTCACTGGAGCAGCCAGTCCCCTGCCTGTACCCCTGCCTGTCTCCTGCCCATCCCACCGCCCCAGCCTCCTTGCTGCTGTTTCCCAAATCCCAACCAAAGTGCCCACCCGGCCCCTTATCTCCAAGTTTCCCCCTAGACACCATCCTTCAGCTTTCCCCCCTTCTTGCCTTTACCCCCCAGTGCATGTCCCCTGCTGGCATTGCCCGCCCGGCTGGGACACCCACCGCGCTGCCTCTCTGCTGGCTGCACCCCAAAGCCAGGTTCTGTGGCGGCGGGGGGGGGGGTTTTGGGGCCCTTCCCCCCTGCCCCGGCCCCCGGTCCCCACTACACTGACTCGGGGGGCCCAGCCTGCAGCAGGCAGGGTGACAGTCCCCTCGTGGGGCATACGTCCCTGCCCACAGCGATGCACCCCTGTGCTGGAGCTCGTCCCTCAGAGCCCGCCAGCAAAACCAACCCGCAGCAAGACCTGCGGTCAGGGGCTCTGAGCCCCGTTACCCCCAGGGCCATCACCCCCGTGCCACGCTGGGCAGCGGGGAGGGGGACAAGTAGTCCTCCGTGGTGGCACCAGCCATGCGCCGGTGTCACTCCATGCAGCAAGATGCCAGCTGGTGCTCGGAAACGTCACTTGCAATTAAAAGCTGCTGTTGCTTAATGCATCCTCAGCACGGCCAGAGGAGCCCCTCGCTGAGTCCCGGATGGTTTTGGGGTCTGGGCTGCCC